GATACTTGGCTATAGTGCCCACATTAAAGGAGGGGACCACCAAATTAACAGTATACTTACTGCTCTTTCTGCCACTCCAGGAGGTCCTTCAAGGATCTTAATCCGAGCTCTTGATTCCTCGCACAATTTTTTGATGAACTCTCCTTTGCGGCCAATGAGACCACCTACCTTATGAGCAGGAACCAATATACGAAAAACACTCTCTCCAGGCCATCCAGGCCACTTCTTTTCACCAGCTTCAGTTGCCGTCAAATCGTCATGCTCTTGTTTGGTTTCATGTGAGTTCTCAGTCTCTACAGCCACCTCTTCTTCCACAATATTCTCCGGAAGGCCATCCATAGTGTGTTGTATTAACTAAAATAATCATACATGACAAATGTGTAAGAGGAGTCAAAAAGTAGCAAAGGAAAATTTAATCAAGAATAAGAAAGCAACAACAAAGATGTGCCGAAGACAGCATTGATGGTGTATCCACAAATAACATATTTACAGAATAAGACTATAGCAGGAAACGAAGATCAAGAACAATGCAGACAACATCTACAATCTAACAAATTATAAACGAAGCAGCAATCCTATGAAAAATATTGTGGAATTTCACATTCGAAACAAAAACAAAAGCAAATCAAGATGAACAAGCATCTCGAAGAAAGTAAAATGCATTATTTCTAGTTAATACTTCAAAGAGATGTTACAAACACAATGGGCATTCCACTATAATATTCCTCAGTTTCAAATTTCAAATTTTCAATTTATACTGATGTAACGGGTATCAGAGTTTTCTTCAATATATAGAAATTGTTTCACCACCGAAGGCGAAAGCATAAAATAAGGACCACATTCCAATCTTCAGAATTAGTTAAGATACTAACTAGTAAAAAATAGATGATGCAAAAGCGTATCATATAAAGTAGCTGAAACTAGTGGTCCCAGATAAATATGTCAAATATGACCTTTTCCATATTTTTTCACATTCATCATGGCAAATGTTTCAGTTCTTTATCTGCCCCAAATCCTTATATTTCTCAACTTTCCAATTGTATACATAGTCAGATATAGAAGTGTATGTTTCTACATATGGCCATCAGGCAAAAAAGATACAAGTCAACATTAAACATTCATGAGAAAAACCAGAAACATTTCATCAATAAATCAATTCTGCAACCTTTACCGATCTGCAAAGGTTTAACAGCAAGCCTCCAAAATTTAGAACACGTTGATTGATAACGAACAAAACTACAGTATAAGAAACACTGGATTTTCTTTGCCTGCCCACCTAAAATATATTAATATTTGACCTTAAAATGCACTACCTTTGCGCATGAGTTCAGAGTGCCTAAGGTTGTCTGGTAGCTAGGTTTCCATAACTTAAGATGCCCAACACTACCATTTGCATGTCAGGAAGCTAAAAGCCCAAGCAAGAAAAAGACACCATGAACATCAAAATTTTAAGCTTCTTGGAAACCAATTTAGAACTTCCAACTTACCAAGCATGCAGCTTCTATGATTTTTCTTTTCATCTAACAAGAGGGCTAATGGCAATTTCTAAACGATGCACAATTCAAGAGGTGCCAGCAGATGCAATCAGAACCTAGACACTGTCCTTGTTGATTCAGAAATTAGTCTCTACAGTTTAGAATGTGGGATCAGCTGCAAGTGTATCACGTATTGTCAAGCAAAGACATCACAAACATCAAAACTTTAAGCACCCCTAAAAACCGATTTAGAAAATCTAACTAATCAAACATGCAACAATGATGATTTCTTTTCCTCTAACCGAATCTCTACGGCGATTTTTGAGCCATGCACAATTCAAGAAGCGTCAGCTGCTGCAAACAAGAAGTTATACACTGCGAAGTGCATTATCTGTTGCCCTCTGGTGAGCTAAAAACCATGACAAACGAAACCAGTAAACTCTGATAAAAGACCAAGCATCCACGCAGCACTACCTTTCACATATTCCATAACAGACGGTACAACACAGAGAAAGCAATGAGTTCATCGAAACCCTAGAATAACCTCAACTAACAATCAATAAAACCCTAGATGTCTCCATCTAGGATACTTACACGGGCAAAGAAACTACTCTGCCAGAAGAAGAAAACCGCCTAAACGAAAACGAGAAAAAGAGGGCTTACGGCTTCCAACGATGAGATTCTTCCGATGGAGGAACGGCCGTAACAGATCCGACGGCGAGGCGGACGAATTCGAGAGTAAGAGAAAGAGAGAGAGGAAGGACTCGGGCGGCGGCGAAGAAACGAAGGATTAGAGAGAGAGGGCACGGTCGTATTTATTTCTGTGGCGTTGGGTTTTGGGGTTTGGGTTTGAGTTTGGGGTTGGGTGACGGGCGCACGTACGAGACATACGTGCGGCCTGCGAACGTAAAATTTACGATGCGGACGTCCGCGGCGTGTATATATATATATATATATATATATATATATATATATAATGATTTATATGGTATAACTAAACGTATAACATAAATTTCAATCAATCTCTTCGCTTTATTCTTTTTTTTAGATAAAATATATTAAAATTTTGATTGAATTTTGATCATTTGTTCCCGCCTATATAACATACACGATGTTGAAATATCTTATTAATAATATCGTAGAAAATGTACATATTGTGGGAAACAATCTTAAGCCGTGGTCTCGGGGCCAACGCGGCTGGGTTCGGATCCGAATGATTGGGGATCCTGTTGAGTGACCCTTGGGACTGCTGGGGTGGCCGACTGCGACGGTCCGATCAGGACGAGACAATCGTTTCCTATGGAAAGGTACTCCTCGCTTGGGCATGTAGTGGGAGACGCTCCGTCTTCGTCCTTACACACAGGTCGGGTCGGGAAGCTCAACTCGACCCCTCCGACGATCCAGTTAGTAGATAGTCACAGGGGATTTTTTTTATCTTTATTTTCTCTCCCCTCCCTCGAGCCGAACACGAGGATTTTGATAGAGAAGGTTATTGTTTCCTGATGTGCCCGCTTGCAGGGGCAGGCCCGTACTTTCGATAGCGTCCGACACCAATGTGGGCGTTGCGTGAAGAAACGGGTTTGCACAGGACGTGGCGTGCCCCGACCGTCGTCCTGGTCTGCCTCGGTCAAGCGCGTCAAGTCAAATCGAGACGTGGATCATTATTATAGAGGAGTTGATGTCAACGTACGTCCCATCAATCACCACTATCAGTACACATCCTTAGATTTTATTCTTGACTAATTACTTCTCACGTGATAGTTTAAGATTAAATCAATGATCCAATTGCATATAATATTCCTTTAGTAATTAGAATCCTATATGGGAGACATTTGATTAGTTTCCAATAGATCCCCAAATATAGATGATGTCTACGAGAGAAGAGATTATTGACGCTTGCTTAGGAGGTCTTTGTACTTTTCAATTGATGTAAGCCTAAGTCGGGTTATTATCACTCATTCAAAACTCTTACTGTGAGTAAATTGTGTCGACCATCAGAGGTCTTCATGGATTATATGGTGATAGACGAAGGAAGAATGATGATAAAAAAAAGTCCAATATTTTTTTTGATTAGACAAACGATTTGTTTTATCACTAAAACAAAACACTACAGCTTTATTCAAAACCAGATATCACAAACGAGATTTAAATACTTAATTATTAATTTTATTATTTCTTTGAGATTTCATGAAATAATTTATTTGAAAGTTTCCAAATGGTTTTGCTCTATTTAAAAATAAAGAATGATAGCTATTTATTTTCATATTATCTTAAATTTTAGGCCTACGTATTTACTAAAATAGTAACCTTCATAAAAATTATAATTTAACTAAATATATATTTTTTTACAATAAAAGATCCTTATAGTGGATTCCTAATAATTAGACTTTACAATTTATTATTGTTATCATATTTTTTAATAAAACATTAATATTTTTATTTTTTTATTTATTATAAAATAAAACGTTGTAATTCCATTGAAAATTATTGTACCTAAGTTTCAACAAATTACAATGTCCACTTACCATAATTATCAACATTATTAAAGGTCTCGAGATATTATAAGATAATTTGCATGTGAGTTTGAATGTTACTTAAAAGATTTGTACATAATTCACAATAAAAGGACAAGTTACATAGAAAAGCTTCACTCAAGGATTATTACATGATTTTATAGTATTTGAATGTGAACCCCCAAATGTGACTTAAAAAATCTCAAAAATTATCTAAATATCCTAAAACTAGTCAAATCGTTATTTATATCACATTTGCTTGCTATATTAACATATAAAGATGAGTTTAACAAAATTTATAATATTACAATTATAAATTAACATGTAAATACATCAAATTTGACTTTAAAATCACATAAAAATTAAAAAATAATATAAAAAAAAAAAACACCTCACGTCAAAAGATTGAGATAAGTCGAATGAACTTCATGATATTACACTCGGTAAATGCTCTGCACCGCACTGCACAACACTAGTATACGGAATTATGATACAAATGAACTATACCATAATTGATGCTACAATCAAGTGCAACACAATTTATTGACGAATGTAGCAACAGAAAATTTGCCCAACTAACTTCAAAAACATCAATAGGAAATATAACACAAATAATTACTCTCTTTTTTTTTCAAAAGATTTTATAGTCTAATTGAGTACATTCTACTATTAATTCTGGAATCCGAGTGTACCACAACTCATTTACTGTAAAGTTTGTCCAACCGGCCACAAAATTTCACGATTAAAGAAAAATATAATGTGAGTTGTCTACTATTAATTCTGCAAGTCCCTCTTTCCTGATCTCAAATCTAAAACCCATCAACTACAGAATAGTACATTATGCTAACTATGGAGATGTCTCAACCCATATCCTTGGCCTTTTCACACCCACTGACGATCGTTAAAAATCTAACCACAGTAACTTGCATGCCCAAAACCCAGCATTCTACCCAAGCAGATTAGTTCAGGTTTTGTCTTCTCTAAGGGTGTGAGAGAAAAGACTCGTGAGAGGTACAAAAGCAGATGCACTACTACAAAAGAGGAAATGCAGAATCTTCCTCTACCAAATATTCTTTAAGGAGATGAACAAAAAAAGATAAAGGTGAGAGGATTACAGCACAACAAAGCTCAGAAGAATAAATTACCTCAAATTATAACCATTACTAAGACCACATGATCGTATGTGCTCTCAGGTTACCTACCTCAAGGACGGTACAAGTATCCGTTCCCGCCTCTTGCAAAATAGTCTTGAAGCTGGTAAGAGTATCCATTCACATCTGCATCCCTCAGGCCGAGCATCGATAGATCAGTAATTCCATAAGGCTGCTGGTTCCGCATCAGTCCATCAAACTGTCGATTAGCATAGGCCAAAAGATCCATCTGCTGCATACGTCCATCCCTCAGCCCTTCGGGAGGGTTATTGGATGCACCGTAGCCCCTATGGAAGCCCTCATCATAGTACTGATCCAGTTGTTCAAACTGGCCAGAGCTACCTAGTGACCCGGTGTCGGCGGAAGACAAATTACCCGGAAAGGAGAACTGCCGACTGAAGGCATACTGGGGACTTCTTGCTGTCCTTCCAACGTTCTGTTCATCATCTAGCAAATCATTGATGATGTCAAGATGGGGGAACTCATCCCCTACCGTCCCTTGGACATGATATGGGGTAACCCTGGAGGCACTCTCAGCTGGATATTTCTGTGCAAGTGATTTTCCATAAACATTGAGCTTCCCCATGTTATCCCCGAGACTTGAGCCAAAACTCTGACTGCTGCTGCTGCTGGATTCATGGTAGCTGTCGTCTCTCCCTAGGTGCTGGCTGTGGACTACTTCAGGCTTAAGGCAACCAAAGGTCAATCCATGCCGAAGTGATGGATGGTCCATCCTTGTAGGAGTCTGAGGTGGAAGCATAGATGTAGATGATAAAAACATTGATGGAGAATGCGAATAAGCAACACTTTGGCTGCAGGATGTAGTATCATCATTTAAACAAGATCCCCTTTTACCAATTATGGCATTTCTATATGACTGTGGAACGAAACTTGGGGCAGTTGGAGAAGGATCATTGCCTAATCGACCAGCTGCACTCACAGAGCGTGAAAGTAGAGGTACTGCTTGAACTGCGGAAGGAATGGGCACAGTAGGCCTTGGTGCTGGGATGAGAGGAGCACTATAAGGCCTTGATGTTGCATTGAATTGGTGTGGACCATTAATCTTTGCTTGTGTGTTTTGCTTCAGAGCTTCAGAGTGAATACTGGACACAATTGGGGGTGATCTTGATGCAATAGCTGGAACCTTGTCAGTTTGTGCAGTGCTGCTTGATGGTTGCTCTTTAGAAGATGTTGGCTCCACTGAGATGGTGGCAGTGGTGGAAACAGCCACGGAGGTGGTTATCACAGACAACTGCTTAGGCTGCTGAGGAATGTTGGATATCTTTTTACCAAGGCTAGGTGAAGAAGAATGTTTCTCTGAATCAACCTGATCATTGGGAGTTAGCTTCTTTTGAAGAGAAACTTCCTCCTGAGACAATAAGATATAGCTTAAATTAACTTGATTCCAGTCAAATCCAGTTAACATGATTCTACTCCAAAAATGCCCAATGTTCCACAAGTTCATACAGAGGCATACGCTTCAAGTATGGTACAGAGTTATATGACCGAATGTAAACTCTAAATAAGAGAATTGTGCAGATAACAAACATCCTCATCATGTAAATCCTAATAAAAAAGGGCAAACAAAACCACCTACCAAGATGAAGAATGGTCAGCTGAGAGAACCGATAAAAATGTATATGGCAATTGCTCGAATGAAAAATATTACCCCAGTTGAATAGCTTCAAGAAGACTCATCAAAAAATATTACCCCAGTTGAATAGCTTCAAGAAGACTCATCAAAAAGGCAACGAGAGAAAACCAACTCATGAAGAGACAATGACCCAGATGTTCTCATGCAAATTCAGAATGACACAATAAAGAAAACTAGTTAAACTTAAAGCCGCACCAAGCAATAGGAGTTAAAAAAAAAAATGATCCATCTTAAAAAACAAATGAGAAACTTGACACCCATAAATAAATGTAAATAACAAGCACAGATGCAGACTATAGTCATGGAAGCAATAAAACAGACAAGAAAACTACTGCATGCATAGTAGGACAACCATAGAACATTTATGGCCTATCTTTTGAAAAAGAAATTATAGGTCATAATAGAAATATTAGCAAGTATACCACAATATACCAGATTCCAGAATAACCAATCTATCCATAATAAAGCTCCAAGACACATATTTTGTGCATGCCTCTAGGAATTATTTAGCAAACTAGATCAAGAAGACGTAGCATAGCATATCACAATCTAAAACTATCCAGGAAGCAGCATCTAACCTATGAAACATATTTAAGTTTGTTATGATCATAAAACCCACTAAATAAAGGTAAAACTTCAATATAAGAATAAACTTCACCTTTTCAGCTAGATTTTTCTCAAGCCGCTGCATCTCACCCTTTAGGGAGAATACACTGGCCTCTGATTCAGGTCGTGAGACCTTGCTGCCAGTGACATCATGTGAATGGCCATCAACAAGAGTTGTTTCAGATCGTGGAATATGCCCACCATTAGTTAAACCCATCCGTTCATGTGTTTCCTCATTCCGACCTTTTCCTCTGAAGATACGGCTCATTACTCATTAAAAACTCCAGGAGTTACAGTCACTACAAAATATGCTCATATGCATCATATGCAAATTACCTGTTGCGAGACTGGATATTGTTGTTGCTTTGTAAAGTGCTTCCTTTGTATGGTCCACTCATGGTAACAGAGGGGACTGAATCAGTTGAGCATGTTGAGGAGCTGTCGTCCATTGCAGATTGGCTCCTCTTTTCACTTTGCCCATTTTGTACATCACTGACACTAGCTTCAGCGGCCAGATGAGTTTCTGATGTATCTATATCCCAATTACTAGGACTGGAATCTCTGTCATTTGATCCCGGTTGCAGAACCTCAATGACATCATCTCCAGTGTCAGACACGTCAGATGCATCTTCCAGGGTACCAATCTTTTCAGTAACCAATTCTACCCGCTCAGAAGGGAAGCTATCTGAAATCCTTTCTACTGATGGAATTTCCTGTTGGAGGAAGCTATCTGAAATCCTTTCTTCCGATGGAGTTTCCTGTTGAAGTCTTTCCGGTACTTGATTACACCTCTCATCCTTTCCTCTCTCTTTACCTTTGCGACTATTACGCTTCTGTTTAGCCTGAAAGAAGAATAAGGAAAACAACAAAATTAAGTGCACTACAACCTCATCTAATTTAATTTGTTACAGATAACTAAAAAAAAGCAACAAACTATTATATGTCCATTCCACTACAAAAATTAACAGCACGAACATAAAAAAAAAGAACCAATGTCTATAAGAATTTTTAAGGAAGCAATTGCAACACAACAAATAAAGCTAAACACAACAATTACAGAAGTGGACTGGAGATACAGTTAGTTTCATGTTAATATAAATAAGCTTACTCCACCTACCAAATGTGAAAACACAACACATGTAAAGTAAAATCAGATTGCGGTCCAGTTGCAAAAGAATAAGCATAACCTGAAGTTAAGACAATCAGCTACGAAATCCATCTGAACCAAGATAGAAAAACCTAAATGATACCTTGTACTGTATCCTAGATGATACGTTATAAAACAAACAATCAATGAAAGATGTTAAAACATACATCAAACTCAAAGCACATGACCTGGATGCCAAATATAGAACTTAGCAACAGACCCCAGTGAGATACCCCATAACCCCAGGTGGGAAACCCAAGAGTAGCCACCCAATCCAAGATAGATGAAAAGTTAATTTGTACAAGATCAATTGTGTTAAATTTTGATGAATTAATATTCAATAGTAAACCTGTTTTTTCTTTGCACGCTTTTCCTTTTCAGTAACACCACGCTTAGACTTAAGCTCATTTTCAGCTTGGCCAGCTGCTTCTTCCTCCCGAATAAGCTCCTCCTGCCTCTTTAAAGCAACAGCCTCCTGGTAGGAAACTTCGATCCTACTGCTGACAACAACATGCGAGGAACAAAGATACTTAAAAGGACAACAAGGATACTGTAGGATTAGTCCACAGACAATCTGCATAGATGGAAAGCACAAACTATGGACATCATCAAACAACACCAAACTGTAAATCCTGAACAAGAATATAGGCCATAAAATTTGAAATTCATGACTTAAGTTAGAGAAGTATTAGGATCGCTTGCAGTTACATGCATAAACTCCAGTTGACCGACTTGCCATAGCCATTTGATTAAATTGATCTGAAACAGGCTAGGAATGTCAATGCCAATGTGTAATTGCATAAAGAATCTTTAGTGTACCAAAGTTAAGGTTGCTTTGAAACTTTCTTAAAAAATGTTAGTCAATAATGCCGAAGATAAGTGATACCTGAATATGTGAACCAGGACAAAAATTTCAATAGTCCTGCGACCCAGCTCCATAAGTCGCCTTTCATCTCGCTCAATAGAAGCCTTGTTAAATTCATCTCCAGAACTTCCATCCTACATATGCAAGATGATTGAAATATATTCAGCAATAGAGATCTGAAAGATGGGTCTTCATGCACAAGAGAAATTAATATTTTGTGAAACATATCCTAAAGCAAGATACTGTGAAAAGAGAAAGCCAAAATCTAATGTATGACAAAATGCACAACCATGTAAATTGAATGGGTGTACACATTAGTCTGATATTGCGAATCAAATAGGTTTCTTCGTTTTTGTAAAGCATAGCCTAAAGGAACTAAAAATAAGATGGATAATGTTGTTAATTGCATCATATATAAGAAGATAGTTACAATCAAACACTGAATAGCAAAAGATTTCAAACAGGTAGGTCATAAAAAGAAACATCAAGAATCATGATTAGGAACAGAAGTGACTCAAACGTGCAGCTATTGAGTATATACCAAACAAAATGAAAAGGAAAAAAATATGGTACGTATTATATGGAAAAGCAATAATTCATCTACAAGGTCACAGTTGCAAGATACAACCTTCTGGAGTCCATTAACAAAGCCACATGTTTTGGCAGATCAACTGACTACAAGCACCAAATTTCAACTTCCAACAATGATGATTAAAGACAATGATGTTAATTTTGTTAAATTAGATCTAGTTGCAATGGAAACCAAACAGCAAAAATTTTCAACCTAGAAAGGATGAAAAAGAAGAAAAGGCCAGAAGTGAGAAAAGGAGCAGGGTAACATGAATGTGAAGCTACTGATTATATGTATCACAAGAAAAAGGGGAAAATGGAAGCATTATATAGCAAAGTTCTTATTTGACTGTCGGGTCAAAACTGTCAAATACAACTAGATTTCATTAATAAAGAAACGAGTGTTTTGGCAGACCAGAGGTATCTGCAGATCAATTGAATACAAGCACCAGATCCTAAATTCTACTGCTGATGACTGCAACCTGAATTAGATTGCCAAGTCAATGTCAATGGTTCCCTTTAACACTATTTGCAACAGCACAAGATATCAAGTATTGGAACTTATATGCCTTGAAGGAGAGAAGCCCTAGTTACCTAGTTAGAAGGTGTTCTGAACAAAACCAGACACTCATTTCTCCTCTCATTTGGTGATCACAACTATTGAGGGCCTAATCTAAATGCTATATTGGCTTAACTTAAGTGCCAAAAAATCCCTTGAGATCTTTCAATCCATATAACTTAAAAATCTCTATGATACTGAAACTAAATATTAGAATCTCATAAATCAATTGAAAGCCTTCCAAATTAAGATAAGTCTATTTTGTATTGCCACCATTGGGAAGAATACGGAGGTCATGCAGTTCATGTGGTCAGATTGTGAGAATCAAACCCAAACACCTTACACAATAGTCTGGAATATAAGATAGGAGATAAACATGTCAGATAAGTCGAGAAACTTCTCTGATAAGTCGAGAAACTTCTCTAAGCCAAAAGTACATATATATACTAAAAGGGGAATCTGAACGCATGAACCTAGATATATCACATGGTATTACATAGAAAAACTTCTTTGGCACCGCCACTAACATAAAAAAATCAAGCATTTCAAGGAGAACAATGAATTCACCTAGAATTGCACATTAAATAGTTTCTTTTTACCTACCTTTATACGGTTCTGCAAACACTTGTCATCTTTTGAAGGCAAAGGCTGATGAGACAATGAATCTGATACAACTCTTTCGATCAAAACGATTACATCATCAGCCAACACAAACAAATCTTTATCAACATGTACCATAGGAGCTGGTAATTCCTCTAAGTCTACTGATTTATCTCTTCCATTCATGTTCTTGCTCTGGAATTCAAGAGCTTTCAGCCCACTGTATAGAGAATCCATAATTAAAGTTGATGTAACTTCTTTCTCTATGAAAAAATGCTTGACAGCAACTTTCAATATAGCATCTGTTTTGTCTCTTGACATGTGCTGCCTCGCATTTGGATCGGTTTCTGACCAAAAAGCACGAAAACTACAAAACCCAGACAATATTCATCACAAGTTTGCACCCACTTAAAAAGGAATTTGCAGGTAGTAGAACCACATGTAGCAAAATTATGATAAAATTAAAAGGTAATCGTTGCCTCATATCAAAACAAAATTCCAGTAAAGTTCCAACCTGGGCCACCTGACTTTATCTTCAACAAATTTGCTAAGCTTGCCTATTCTTTCTTCCAGAAAATGACGGCAAATTTGCTCTACATTTGACAAATACACTCGAACCAGTTCCCTTCTGTATTGGCAATCAAGACAACGGAAAGGTCGATCTGCTTTCTCCCTGAAGTAGCAAATGCAAAAGTTAAGAAAGAACATGAAAATATCAACAGTGGGTACTAATGAACAGGTAAATTTATTATATCATAAGCAGGAATAATACAAATTTCCACTCAAAAAGATGTTAAAAGAAATCCAAGCAGATGGATGTACAATAATAAAAATGAAATCACTAAAACAACATATTGTCACATTTAACATGGAAAAGTTGGTATTGCTCTCAACAGAAACCAGATAAAGGCCAATTATCCATATTTGTGCATATTAGAACAGATACAAGCATTAGGACATCTCTGTATCCAAGGTCAAAAACATTGAACGAAGAAATTTTTAGCACGATAATGTTTCCTGTCTAATTTACTTAGTCATAACCCAGAGTACCTAAATGGAACATCATGTAAGAGTCTTATACTTGGTTTTGCATCCCTATCAAGAGATTTTAAAAAAAAATCCAAATGGTGCTAATCCTCAAAATACAACACTCCCAGAATATATACCGATGTAAATATAACATAATGCACCAAGCAAACTATAAAAACATGACCCCACATACAGGTACAAAAAAATTTATGCTGCTAACCTTTGTCTTTTTAATTCAATAACCTCTTGGCTCTCTTTTCATCAAAAAGATATACATGCTTATAAACACCACATGATGTTTATTAAAAATTAAATGGAAAACAATGTGGCAAATGTGACAAAGTGTGCCACTCACCTAATTTTGAACATCTTTATTGAACTGGTAGTGATAACTGATAACCATGATTGCAAAACTTCAAGGACAAAGAAAATCTATGGTTATGAGTATTTTCAAATAAATTTATCAACTATGAATGAAAAAGATGCAATATATGACCAATTCAAAACTCAAGTCACAATTCAACGAGGAACTTGATAGTATGACTGCCATTAGATATACAGAGCAAAACTATGTTGCAAAGCTAACAACAAGTTGTTATATTCAACTGTCACCTTATTGGGTTAAACCATCTGTTGGCTGGTGCAAACTAAATGGAGAAGGTTGTTGGAAGTTGGAACCAGGTGGAGGGAAGGCCAGGCGTTATCATCAGAGATGTTACTGCTAAGTGCTTGTTCTGTGGATGCAAGTATGAGGAGAACATTTCTATTTTATACTGCAAAGCAGTTACAGTTAGAAAGGGTTTAAACTTTAAAGACTGCAATTGGAGGAGGGCATCCAAAGGACTCATACTGAGATTGATTTGAAGAATCAGTGTCACCTGTTAAACAGCGAAAACTAATCCACCTTGGACTATTTTGATTGTAGTTATATCTTTTTCTTTCTACTTAACCATTATGGGAAATATAAAATTTCTCATGTTTTTGGAGGATAGAATAGAGTTGCAAACTAGCTGGCAAAACATGCCAGACAGTATAGGTCTAGTCTAACCAGATCTGAAAAGGGATTGGCCATTCAATCTGCTTTTGATTTTGAACTCTGACGTAAAAAGGGACCTGTGTACCCGTCTTAATTAATACTACTTTTAGTTTCTGCAAAGAGAAAGCTATCAACTTTATGTCTTACGATCCCTTTGTTCCTTTTGTCATCTTTATTTATAAAACACAGTGTCCTATGAAAATTCAAGGCATATGGACCAAAATATGCATCACGACCCAATTCTTTTCAGAAGGAAAACGAGGTTAAATTAAAAGGAAACTACAAAATGTGTAACAGAAGGATGATCAGAGAACCAAAAAATGGAGAGCCTGCTGTTCTCCCAGAACTGGCAGCCCTATGTGCCACGATATTAGAGTCTCCAGGTAGATACTCAAAAATTACAACAGGTCCATACCGACCAGTACTTCAGTTCAGTTGGTTTATTTGGATTTCAATAGCAGCATGGTAATGTCAAGAAGTATACCATTACTAAACATGTCTCAAGCAACTTTGCAGGAAAAATGATCATTAAACCACATCTAACAACTGAAATCAGGACCAAAGGATCTGCAAGACTGCCAAAACAGGATAAAACAGACCTTTCAAAGAAACTCTAATTGCATGGACAAGCCAAAGAGGCATTGGTTCACAAAGACATAGAGCCTTTGATTCAAGGAATAATATGGAAGCATAAAAATAAAGCACCAAAGGAGATGACTATTAGTGTTTTTTAAAAAGCAGTCCTTGTTGCCACATATCCTGTGCAAATTGTGTGGATGCCTGTAACAAGAACTAATCTGCTGTACCATGCGGCATAATTATATATGGAATACATACAGCCACAGATACTCAAGCAGCTGCATATAGTTGAGCAAAGTATACAGCCAAGTCCACCAGTTAGATAGCCATATATGTTGTTTCCTTCTTCCTCATTAAACTGTTATTGTCACCTTGAAATACTCATGCTATGATTATATCATAGTAGTCAGTTAGAACTTTACTGTTTCTAATTACTTAGAACTTATACAACTAAATACCATTTATACACGATTTGTATCTCGATCATCAACATCTCATTTTAATTCCTCACCAAGTGTTAATTATTTGTTTTCTCTATTTATTTTCTCAGGGGAAAAGTATTATCTGAAACCAACATTCAAAGGACTCTTTTTTCTAGAAGTTAGACCACTTTAAAAGCCAATCAGCTGCAATTTTAAAGTTTGACAGACTATTTGAGTGAAAGTGTTAAATTGTTCTAAAGCCTTATTCTCATCTACTTAATCATTGTTCCTATGAACGTGAAGATTCATCCTTAATTTTGATAAGAACAGACCATGAAGCTTCATTGTTCTCAAACACTTCCACACTATGCTCAAAATCACACTCCTTGGCTAAATTGCTGTCACGATAACTATTTATAAATTGCATAGATGTGGTTGGCTCTTCCTAAATCTCATCCACATCAATTTCCGATACACTACCCTGCCACTTTCCACCCACTTTCAATAAGTTTGAAACCAAAAGCCCAATTTGGCCTTACTAATTACCAGAAAGAACCTTTTTACTTCATGCTCGGTCATAAGACCAGATGAAGAGTTTGAATAAGCCAGAGTAACAATATTATCAAAAAAATTTATGAAAATAAGACAGAATATATAAATACCCATATGGGACTAGCAAGAGTGGAGCAGATTCATATTTAAAAAGGCAGTTAACCAAATCACTAAGTTCACAAGTACAACAGATAAAAAAAATGTGCAATCTAAGGTCGATATTATATAGCCAAGTATCACTCAAAGCCACTTCCACCACAACAATTGTGTGTCACAGAAATTTAGATAGTCCACATTATCCATGTCAATTGCAGATTCCTAATTTCAACAATGAGATTCAGTCAACTAAAATAATCAAGTTAGAAATTATTATTAGAAGCATTATATGAAACTAACATAGGACAAAGGTACCTAATAACTTGAACTTGGGCTTTGATAACAAGAGTGTCAGCGACAACAAAGCCATCATAAACTTTTGACAACTCCATGAATTTTTTCCAACCCCAATCATGTTCCTTCTTCCAAAACCTGTGTAATGTATCTGCAAATTTCCTCAACAGCATAAGCTCCTAAAACAGCTTAGTGGATGCTAAGGAGAGCATTTTTAAATTAACATTTTCTGCTATTTGACTGACCAGAGTACTTTGATTTTTTTGGGTCTTTGTTAACTACAGCTATCGTAAACTGTGCAAAATGACTCCAACCTGCCAATTTTATAAATTTATAAAAGCATTGTGATGTTTGTCATTGAAAATTACAACATAAGTTGTATGAACCAATGAGAATAGCAATACAACAGGCTGCAAACCTGGCAGAAGTTTCTCATGATTAGCAACAGAAAGAAACAAAGAAAGATGATTGCAGACATCACAACCCTGTGGGTAGACCAAAATGAACCTGCAAAATTTTAAGCAAATATTAAAACTTGATAACTACAGAAAACTTTACTTAGAAGACAGACTCTATCAGATATGTCTTGTATAAGCAAGCATGTCAATAGATTGTAGTGATTCAAGATTGTGGATGTCATAATAACCATGTCATTTCAGCTGCCAAGGATACAACAACAAGAACAAGCCGTTCCAAATTTTAGTCAGCCACATGGATCTTCTCCTACCATTGAGCTTTGTACAAGGGCATGTCTAGCATTAGATCTCTTTTTGAAGTTTCTAGTAACGATTGCTTAGGTCTCCCATTACCTTTCCTCATACCACTAGTATTAATTGATTCATCTTATCTAGCCACAACATCTACAGGTCTCCTTTGAACATATCGAAACATCTTAGATGAGGATCTTAGCTGTTTTCAGCTACCAAGGATGAGATCTAAATTCACTGCAGGCTATATCCTTCCGTACCACCACAAAATGGAAATTTCATCATCTTATGAAAAAAAAAGTGAACTTCCTATGAGTATAACCATTATGCAGCATTTTTGCCTACAAGGGGCAGCCAAATGAACAAGGCTGTTGACATGACTTGAACCTTGTGCAACACTTTCCTAGGGAGACCAATAATAAAACATTTCTTCATGCCAAATTGACAAAAAATGTTTTGAAAACACCTAGAAATATTTATCAAGGAACAATGTACAGACCAACAAAACAATCATACAGCGGAATACTAAAAATTGTGTCACTTATGTTTAAAAGAAACAGAATTTGCAGATTTATGAATTTTTCAGCAAGATTAATGTTATTGATAGAAAAGACACATGGTTGATTATCTTCTTCATTTAGGCATCTCATTAGGAGAATTTGAAAAGAACCAAAGGATGTTCAACTAAGCATATCAAGTAGCTTCCCTTCCCCAGGCTGAATTGGCAGCCACCTCCCCCAGGCTGGACCAAGCTTAATAGTTAATACTGATGGGGCATGTCTCTTGCAGGATTCTGGCCCAGGCTTCTTTTTAAGATATCACTATACGACATTGCTTGCTGGCCGGTCACTCATATCACCGTTCCATCCCCCAATTCAATGTGAAGCATTAGCAATTTGGGAAGGCCTACATGCTGCCATCCGACTTGGACATTTCAGGATCCAGTTGGAAACTGACGCACTTACCATCCAAGAGGTGTTGGATCATGGAAAAAATCCACCATGGAGAATTTGGCATATACTTGCTGACACACGCAGACTAATCGATACACTTCAAAGTTTTGTGTCTTTTTGTTTCAAGGAATGTAATCGCGCAGCACACTGAGCTGCCACTAAAGCAAGACAGACCAGATCTAACTTTTTGTGGGAGGAAAACTTTAACCCAAGTCTCGCTGACATTTTGTATGATGACCTACACAGGTCTTTCGGTAGATGTTTGAAACCGTAATAGATTCCTCTATTCTTTTGGAAGGAAAAAGAAGGAAGTAATTTGGGTCTGAATTGCTACTCTCCAAAGTGTAGAAGCAACAATATGGCTATGTAAGATTGATAAAATAAAGCCACTCATAAGCATCTTTTCACTCCGTTACAGTAAGAGATGATAAAATGTGTCAGAGCACATAAACTTCCTCTATATTTACAGATATAAACATGAACATATTTGATACAACACGTCAAGGATTTGAAAATCGTATGCTGGTTTAGGTAAAAATCTGATCGGAGTTGACCAAACCATGCCACCCAATGTCACCAAAAAATATATTACAAAAAAATCATCAGAACAGGCTTATATGGTCTGGTAGTAATAAATTTCTCCAATAATTCATAGATATAAACAACATCATATTTAACACAATACATAAAGGATTTAAATGTCAGTCCAATACTCGTTTCCATAAGCGGGAGAACCAATACGGTACCTGTAAACCAGGCAGTAGACCAACTGACACTGCCTAATATCACTAGAAAAATAATAAGAGAACAAATACTGATTGGCACCAACCTATATGACCAGGTATTCGGCCAGTACCAACTGATTACTCGAAACATGTACAGTATACTTATATTATATGTACCTAAACATAATAAAAGAATTAATTTTGAAGAGAGCATCTTTTTGGAATATTTTTCTCAAAATAAAAGCATATGAATCCCAAGATAAAAAGAACATTCAAATATCATATTAAAAGGTGGCTAACCAAAATTAAATTACTTTCACAAATCATAGGTTATCAGAAAAACTCAACAGATCTTCCTAGGCACCTAAGATGTGCAGTAATATGTGATATAAAACATTATATTGGCCATGGAAACTATATATGACAAAATTTTGATGATAACTATAAAACAGTAATTGATTTTTATTTTAATTAGGATAAATTATTTTCACTTTGCTCTATTTGATTTTGGAATTCTGTTCGCTGGCTCGATTGGCTCTTGTATCCTTTAACAAATTTCTACTTTTCCTAAACTTGGCTGGAAACTCCAGCACAAGAATTCTAAGGGTTGACAATACATCAATAACAATAAAACTTTTCTAAATACACTCCCAACAATTGTAAGAAAGGCATATAGCAGAACAATGCAAATGCCTATAGTAAATGAAATAATCAATTGGAAGAGACATAAATATTGATAGTTAACTTCTTACCACTTGTAACCACCAATTTCAAATGCATCACCTCGCAATTCTCTTTTGTTGATTGTTGAGAAATTCTCAATCTTCCATGTATGTTTTCCATAGAGCTCAGACGGCTTTGGCCCTGAACGAAAAGTTGCATCACAAGATGAACTACAAGAAACATGGTAACTTTACTGGAAGAAGAATGTCATCGGAATAACGCATAATGAAAGGATAATAATACAACTGGATGTTCGCCTTAATTCACATAAAGGGCTGCAACCACCCAATAAAGAAGCTTGTCTATTTGCACTACAACATGTGTTTGGGGTGCATTGTTCCTACGTCAACAAGCAGAGGAACCAGAAATTGATCCTTCTGACTTCTAATTATAAAATAAAGATTTTAAACCAATGTTGGATTGGATCCACATAGCAGAGAACCTAGGTAATCCTTTGCTCAATGAGGCACGAAGCCCCCTACATCCATCTCAACATCAAGACTTTATAAAAAGAGGAACGACATGGCACATAGGAAGATGAGCACCTTGTCTCAGCAATCGCATATCTAGAGTTCAGTCTAGTGAATGGCGTGGCATATCACAATGTCCAGCCAACGCGCAAAGGGGAAAGGGACGACAGTCGCACTGATTGAATTTGGATATGACTGATGAACAACGGTTTCAATTCAGTAACGAGACATCATCTCCCTAGCAGTTCAGGGCTTTGTGAGGTCCATGGAGATAATGGCGATGGGTACAATAGTGCATCAACTGACGGTGGCAACAACGATGGTCAATCAATTATTCTGCCTACTCAAGCTTGATGGGCATGAATGACGGAGCAATGTTTTATGCATGTTACATAGGATTCATATCAAGGAGTTCAAAGATCAGTGCCTCTCATTTATACTCAGACGGATTAAAAAAACGAAGGTATTCGGCAACTTTGACAGATATGATGGAGCCCTCTGTAGTGTTGACATCAATAGGAGCTCATCTATTATGAAGGATCTCATAGCCAACAGATGTATGAACATGATCATTCTTTTGGGAGTCAACTCGTTCAGACTCCAATGTGCTCCAACCTCCATAGCCGTACAAACCATTGTCATACATGCCTGAGGAGGCTCCTACTACACGTGTAGTTAATAATAATAAGGTAATCATCGTTACCATGTTGATACGTTAAAGGCACACAATTTACAAGGATAATCTATCATAAGAGCAGTTCCAAGTTTGGGTCCGATAGACATACAATATTAAGATACTACTTCGAAAGATTGAGGACCCCGATCTACTGTTTTGGAGTCTCGTCATTTAATTTTGTGGTAGAATCATGTATATATTAATCTTATCATGATATTTTATTTTGCTCAAAATCTTGGAGTTTCAATACCTAATCTAATATTCCAACTCATTCTTTTCATTGTAGGTAAGGGGACACTTCGATCAATGGAAGTAACTTTCTTTGACCAAGGATCATATGGTAGAATTCTTCATGAATAAAAAAAATAACAATTTCTATATTTGATCCTTATAGCCTAGAATTTCTATTGATTCTTTTTGTATTTAAACTTAAATACCAAGAAAGTACGAGAAAATAGTTTTTTTTCGTTTTCAAATAATTTTCAGCCATTTTTCCAAACATTCAATGTGTACTGATCAATTGACCGATATGCATGGTCGGGAGAAAAGTATGTAAAATTTACAGTTGGCACAAAAGGGTGTTAATAGAACAGAAAACAAAGAGTTCGCTATTCCTTCTCATTTGACAATGTGTCGTCAACACCAACAAAAATAAATCATGTTCATCCTTTGAAATCACAAAAGCAATGATGGAATTTCAATTCTAAGTGACTAATTCAATTCAGTTTTTTTAGTTCCAAATGACTAGTTTAATTCAGCTCCAAAGCAATACAAATCAGCATTTACAATGCACTATAACTTTTTAGTGAATGACAACACAAGTCCATCGACAAGTACATTTACTTCTAAACTGATTAGTTTAAAGAATCTAAACAAAATGATATAATTGCAAAAAGAATACTTCAAATTTTAAAAAAATAAACCAGTTGAAAGGGGAAGATAGCACACCACAATCATCATCGTCGTCAGTATCCCAATATGGGGGTGAAGTGGAAGGTGCCCCGTTCTCGAACTGCTCACGAGACCGCCATTCTGTAATTGAATCACCCGACAGGCAACGCTGCTCGCTCAACATTCCCTCTGTGGCTGAATACCTAAGGCTCATCCCATGATCCTCTGTAATAGTTCCGGCCATTGCCCAAACCAATCAGATTATTTCTGATGTAAATTATGAAACCGTCCTCTTCTTCCCCTGCGAGCCAAAAGAATAGAGACAGGTTAGGAACATGCAAGAGAACAAGACAAAAGGATATAAACAAGCAGTCGAAGTTTTCGTGTGACCCACAAACAATAGGTTGAAAATACAAAACAAAAATGAAGCATTAAGCACAAAATCACCCAACACGCAGCTCAAAAAATTAAACGATAAAACAAGGTCGGTGAAAAAATCCCCTATTCTCTAAAGTCCACGCCCGTAAGAAAGGACTCCTAAAAAACCCCAATCACGCCCACGGAATCCAATTAGACCACTAAACCTCTATCCGATCTCTCCTTTTTTCTCGTTCTTCCCCGATCGTAAGCCTCCACTAACCAAATTCTAACCAAAATCGACCGCAAGCCGACGTCCCCAGCTGCGCCGCCGGCCCAGGAACGAACGAGGGAAACCCACATGGGAAACGAGTGAAGAACCCCATCGATTCGACAAATCAGCCCTAATAGGCACGCCCTGGGCCAATCGGCCGGCTAAAGGAACGAATCCACGGGAAGCCCGAGCCGATACACGGATCTAAATCGACTACCTTGTGGGGCGCGGGCGCGCGGTGCGGCAGTAGAAGGAGCCGGAATTCGGGAGAGAGATAGAGAGAAGGGCGGTGGGAAAAAAACCTTCACCCACTCGGCTTCGACGGCGAGCGAGAGGAGGCGAGGACGGAGTTCGGAGGCGAGAGGGGAGAGAAGAGGGCGAAAAGAGAGACGGCAGAGAAATGAAACTACTAAAAGCTACAAATTATATACGTATGGAGACATCAAGGGCTAAGTTCCTTATCTCGAAACCGACGTGTTTTCATTTCTTGTGTATTTATTCGTTTATAATTATATACATTATTATTGTAACAGACAATATAAATTTATTTCTTTATTTCTTTATTTAATACGAGTTTATGTTTTTTTGTGTTTGATAATACAAAATATTCGTTAATGTCAGACTATTAATGTGTTTTAACCCTAATTCGATATTAAGCTATAACTATATATCTCATTACAAATTTAATTCGATTTAATTATATTCAATTGGTATAGATTTCTGAAATTTTTTTGATTAATTTGAGTAACTATTAAGTATTTGAACTCCAACTCAAATTTAAATTCCGCTCAAATACCTTTTTTTGTGAAATTATATTCTAAATTTATTTTTAAAAAATAATTATTATTATCATTATGATGATTTATTAAAAAAATTCATTTTTAAATTTAAATTTAGATTCTTTTCTAAAATGATAAGTGATGAAGATGATTGATTTTGACTATTATCATTATGAATTATAATGGACAGAGTATTGGTGAATTCTACTTTCTATTTCAAATTCAAGCTTATGTTTTTTTTAACTTTCACAAAAATAAGTGGTGAATACATTATTCGATCTATGATTGATTTTGATACTACCTTTTTGAAATTTTGTTAAACTTATTTTCAAACTTATTGTTTATAAGCATGGATGTTGAAATTATTATAGATTGATTAAAACTATATTTTAAATTTTTAATCATGTCATATAGATTAAATTTTCGAGTTGAATTTATGTAAAACATGATGTGTGTGTATATGTATATATGTATATATGTATATATATATATATATATATATATATATATATATATATATATATATATATATATATATATATATATATATATGTATATGTATGTATAATATATATATATGTGTGTATAATATATATATATGTGTGTATACATATAAATATATGTATACATACATATATATATGTATACATATACATGTATATATGTATATGTATGTATATATGCATGTATATGTATACATATATATACATATACATATATATAATATTATTATATACATATATATATAATACATATATATATGTATATGTATATGTATATGTATATGTATATATACATATACATATACATATACATATACATATACATATATATATATATATATATATATATATATATATATATATAT